ATAAGGTTGTACCAGTCCCTGAGAGACGATACCCGGACTTTCCGGTTTACTACGAGATATGAAATTGGCATATACGCTTTTGCCATATCAAGTTTTTGGCGCCGTTGCCGGGGACTGCCATACCTTATTTTTGTTGATTTTTGTGAGTGAACTATTTTGATCTGGGTGTTAGTGTGCAGGTGATTTTTTCAGGTGTATCCTCCCCGTGCATGCCAAGGAGGACGACCGGCAATTTACTGCCACTTGATCCAGAGATAGAGAGGACCTGCCGACAGAACAGGAAGCAGGTCACGTTAGGGAAGCAGCCAACCACAACCACAACTCCTAGGCCTTCCCTAACCAAGAATCGTCAACAGAGAGGGCAGGCTTCATCACTTGTCGTCCCTACACCACCGACACCACCACCTCGTGACATTGAGCCTGTCATCATGGCAGACGATGATCGTTCGATTAGGGCTCGTTTAAATCGACGGACTGGAGCCCGAGCTTCATGTGTTGTCATTCCGGCTGGGGATGCAACCATGGAAATTATCCCCGCATTTATCAACATGATCACCAATGGATATACTTTCTCCGGGGCTAGCAATGAGGATCCTCACGAGCATCTCCGCCGGTTCGCGAGCATATGTGATACGATGAAGAGCCCAACTGTGTCTGATGATGCAATTCGTCTTCGGATGTTCTCATTCTCTCTGATAGGGAATGCCTCACACTAGTTTCAGAACTTAACACCACGTTCCATCACGACATGAGCTCAGCTTGAGAAGGTCTTTCTGGATAAATACTTCCCACCTGCCTTGGCAATGAAGAGGCAAGAAGAGATTGTTACTTTTAAGCAGGCTGATGATGAGAGTCTGACTGAGGCATGGGAGCGCTATAAGGGGCTATTGATGAGATGCCCAAGCCATGGTCTTGAAGATTGGAACGTGATCATTATTTTCTTCAATGGAATCAGAAGGGAGTTTCGGGATGCCCTAAATAATGCTTCTCGAAATGGTTTCACAAGGATGGAGGCTCCAGCAACATATGAACTGGTAGAGAAGATCTGTTTAGAAGCCACTGAATGGGGTAGTGAGACCAGCATTCGAAGGAGAGGAGTCTTGCATGAGATAGACAAAGTTGCAAGTTTAGAAGCAAAGATTGATGCTAAGCTAGATTCCAAGTTCGATGCACTCGAACGAAGGCTGGCCAAGATGGCTCTTGGTAGACAAGAGGAGGCTGCTTTTTGTGCTTTGCGAGGGTCCTCATCATAGGGATATGTGTCCACTGGGAGCTGCTCAGTTGGAAGATGTCCAATATATCAATAATCCGCGAAGTCAAGGCCAGGGTGGAATGTATTCAAATACATACAACCCTCAATGGAGACATCACCCCAATATGTCATGGTCAAATAATAATCCAGCTGGTGTTCAAAACATCCCACCTCCTGGTTTTTAACAGCAGCAGCCTCAACCAGAGAAGAAGTCCCAACTAGAAGAGTTGATTTTGGCTCATATGCAGAAAACAGACAATAATTTCAAGGGTCTTGATCAATTTGTCACTCAACAGCTAGCCATCAACGACAATATGCAATCATCTATGCTAGCTATGGAGAGGCAAATAGGCCAGATGGCTCAAACTTTGGCAGATATTCAAGTAAGGATTCCGGGAACTTTACCAGCAAATACCGAGAGGAATCCGAAGGATGCCATGGTTGTAGATGTCACATTGAGGAGTGGAAAGGCCTTGGAGGATCCAGAGAGTTCAAGGAAGTCAACAAAATCAGAAAAAGAAGGAGTTGCAGAGGTAGAGGATGAAGAAAGTGCAAAAGCTGAAAAAACTGACATGCACAGGCAAACTGCATGCAATCTACCTGTGCATGAGTATTCTGCATGTGCACCTCCAAAGGTGGAAATATTCAATAATGAAGAGGTAAAGCCTTATGAACCTCCCGCACCATTCCCTCAAAGGTTAATGAAGCCCATGGAAGACCCAAACTTCAAGAAATTTGTGAATATCTTCAAGCAACTTCATATCAACAAACCGTTGGCGGAGGCACTTGAACAGATGCTTACATATACTAAATTCTTAAGGGAGTTGCTGACTAAGAAGCGCAAATGGGCTGAGCTAGAGAAGGTAACCCTTACTTTTGAATGTAGTGCTGTGATTCAGAATAAATTACCAGAAAAGAGGGATGATCCAGGAAGCTTCACCATTCCATGTGTCATTGGAGGTACAGAGTTCAATAAATCACTTTGTGATCTTGGAGCAGGAATTAATTTGATGCCATACTCAGTCTACAAGAAATTGGGATTGAGAGATGTTCTTAAGCCTACTCGGATCACTCTCCAATTGGCTGATCGATCAGTGAAAATTCCAATAGGAGTGGTGGAGAATGTATTGGTGAAGGTGGGGAAGTTTATTCTCCCTACAGATTTTGTGATTCTGGAGATGGAAGAAGATCGGGGAGTGCCTCTCATTCTTGGGAGACCTTTTCTAGCAACTGGAGATGCACTCATCGATGTTGGGAGAGGCAAACTGACATTCCGAGTAGGTAAGGAGGAGGAAATTTTTAATGCCTTTCAAGTTGATCATAATCACGATGCATTTGATGACTTAGAAAGTGGAGCTCGAGAAAGGAAAAATTCCTCTTCCTGTGATAGTGGACCCCACCCGAACAACTATCACATGTCCTATCTACTCAGATTCTGAAATCAAAGCAAGGACAGAAATCCTTGCCAGATCACCTCAAGTATAGATATTTGGGTAAGGATTTCAATCTTCCTGTTATTATTCCTTCTTCACTGACATTGAAACAGGAAGAGTACTTGCTTGAGGCGTTGCAATACCACCTACGCCTCACTAAAGGGTCCAACATGGCAGCTAAGAAGGTCATACCGAATTTTCGCACACCTGGCCCTGCTGAGGTGACTCATATGTTAGATGGAGGCTATGCGTTCTATCATTGCTCGAGAGGGTATTCTGGATACCTTTCCATACCCATTGGTTGAAAGCTCCATGAACATCAGGCTGAGGACGTTAAACAAGCGCTTCTTGGGAGGCAACCCAAGGTAAGTTTTCTTTTCTTTATTTTTCTTTCTTTTTTAGTTGTGTCAAACCCGTGCATGTTTAGATTAGGAGTTGAACATTATGGACATTGTTCCTTCCTGAGTGTGGGGTGGTGAGTCTTAGTGTTTGTTTGTCCCTATTGCATGTGGTAAAAAAAACCAAAAAAAAAAATTCTGTCATTTGGCTATGCACAGCCAAACTGCATGCAGTCTACCTGTGCAGGTGCAGTCTGCCTGTGCTAACCTAATGGCTAAAAAAACACATAAAAATCAGAAAAATTAAAAACAAAACCTTGTACTCTTGTGGTAACATGATGTAAATGACTGTGATGCCTTCAAAATGAGTTTGTGCTTAAATGAAATCATCAAAATCACCCCACTAGTGTTGAATTGCATAGTTCTTCACAATGAGCTTAATAGTTTGACTGACTAGATATGCTTTGAATGAGCAAACTATTTTAGCAACACTCTATTTTATGAGGATAGTGTAATGACTTTTGGTGAATGGAGAACATTGACCATTCGACATGTTTGGATACCGTGCTTACTTGTATAATTTGTGAGCTTTTGATTTTGCAATGAGTCTCTCTGTTTTGAATGTTTTAGATGGGGTGAACTGTATCTTTATAAAAGAAAACACTACCTGACAAGTAAAATATAAGAAAGTTGCCATAACAATCTAAGTGTGGGTAAAAATGCCAAAATCGTGTGAGGTAATCACTCATTGCACATGGGGATTAGGAAAGATTCAATTGAGAATCGGTTCGCGACTGTACGATGTTGCTTATCAAGTACGATCCCCAGTTGAGTTGAAGTGCCATTAGAGGATGTGCAATGACCCTCCACACGGACCGATGAAAAGTAGTTGAAAGAAGCCCTTATGTGAGTGCTAAGAAGTAGAAATTGCTCTTGCTCGGTCACCGGTAGTAAGAAACAAATCCCACTTGTACTAAATACGACCACTCGGCAAGCAAAATCAGAAAGAGAGAAAGCCTCTCCTTGTCATAAAAGGTAGTTATGTGCTTAAAGTTAAAATCATGTTTGCGAAAGGCTTCCCCCATTAGTTTTTGAGACTCATGCTTAGTTAACTGCTTATGATTGGTTTGAGTAAGCCAGATTGTCCTCATGAGATATGCACCTCACTGATGTGGTTAGATTCTCCTAATAATTGTTGCACCATAAGTTGTTAATCACCCACTACCAACGATCGGAATTGAGTGTTGCTATTTGAGTTTTTGTGGATTGGAGTCAGTCAATGTTAAATGGTTGCAAAGACCTTGAGTGTGGGGTGAATGGTATGATCATTAAAGCACAGTTCATCCGTTGAGAAAGAAACTACCGATTACAACAAGAGTACACGAAAAAATTGTTTTGTGTCGAGTGTTTGATTGGTGAGTCTGTGATGTGTCATTGTTGTGGATGGTTATGTGTTTGTGTTGTTTGAGTCGTTGCATAGGGACAAGCAACAATTGATTTTTAATAATGGTTTATTATTGGAAAAAATCCTATAATTTGTCATTATTTAAAATTTGGCAGATAAGATAAGTGAAGTTTGAGATGGTGAACGTGAAAAATGAGAAACAAGAAATTTCTGAACATTGATCATTCTCAACCATATTAGACAATTTTGAATTTCCATTTTCTCAGTCTTCAAAATATGAACATAAAAGAAATATATATACTTGTGCTACTTAGAAATGAATATCAAATTATACAAGCTGCTCCACCCTGTCCTACCACTTGCAAAGTTGGCTCCCCATTCTATCACATCTACCACCACCCTTTGCCGCTCTTGTGGATTCACCACCTCTATTTTTTCTGTCGAAGCTCACTACCATTGTTATTATGTTATTTCATAGGAGAATCCAAACAATTGACCTTTGTTGATGAATTTTTTGTTTCCGTCCTAGGCCCCAAAAAGCTAAGAGCACTCACCACATTGCTCATCATTGGTCAAACTTCAGCTTCCTCCTGAAGACACATCGTTGCAGCTGCCACTGCTTGATTCAACCCTCTCACGGGAAACTCAGCGTTCAAAAGTGGATCTGCAAGTTCCACATACCTACTTGTATAGTTAAACACTGGTTGTGCCTATTGGGGAGAAAAATAAAATTAATTTAAGGTCAACTGAACTATAATAATATATACCATTTAGTCCCTAATACTTTTGTAAATGTAAGAATTAAACTACAAAATTATATCAAAAGATGGTGATGGTAAATAAAAATTAGAAAAAGAAATTAATCGTTGCATTACCCAAGTGACTAGGTTTTGTTCATTAGAAGGTAAGGTGGTGTCAATAACTCTTCTTCTAGAGATCAACTCCAACAAAACGACCTCAAGACTATAAACGTCAGATTTTATAGTCAACTGGCCAGTTCTTTGATACTCTGGTGCACAATATCCATAAGTACCCATTACACTAGACGAAACATGGGTCTTATCTCCTGTGGGTCCGAGTTTGGCAAGCCCAAAATCAGAGATCCTGGCATTAAGTTATTCGTCGAGGAGTATGTTTGATGATTTCAAATCTCGATATATCACCAGTGCATTAGCCTTATCATGCAAATACTCCAACCCTTTTGTCGCACCCAATGCTATCTTCATCCTCACGAACCAATCTAGTGGCTTTCTTCCTCGTGGAAGATCTACAGAAAAGGCACAAGAATAAAAGGAAAAAGGATATAATATCACAAAATAGGGAAACTAGAAGATGATCAAAGCAGTCAAAATCGAGATTTAAATTCTAAAATTCTACGATTTTACAATGTTAATTACCCGTTGCGATCCTGATTTAACTATAGAATCTATGGACCTTAAAATCTTACGATTTTATAATTCAAATCATTGGGTCAATTTGACTTATTTTCCCCTTAAGTTGCAAATTTGGGCCTCTTTTCCTTCACTTCCACCCTATTCATCTGCTTCTCTCACACTAACCACCATCGACCATCATCAATTCTAATTAAAGTATTAATCATCATCGATTCACCACTTCCCAACATTAACCTTGAGATATTATCACTGTAAGTGTTATGTGTTTTTGTTTTATTCATGAAATAATCATCTTCTCCTTTATTTGCACCCTTCTCTTTAATTCTTGGATGACTCCTCCTTTACAAGCTCCCTCAAGGTGTTTCTCTCACTAAGAACCCAAAAACTCTATTTGATCACTATAGACCGACATGTTTTTAATAAATGAGGGACTCATCATATTTATAGGCAACCATGGACAATGACTAGTTTGTGGCCTCATGCGGAAGATTGAGGTCATGAATAACGTTCCAAGCCCAAGATCTATAAACATACAGTTCCTAGTTGAGCAGGAGGTGATTCGCGGTCCCAAGATCATGACCGCAAACAAGAAGTCGCAGTTGCGATTTTAGTCACAGGCTCAAATGAAAAAAGCCGTGATATAGACCATAAAACCATCTACTTCTTCTTTGCGCATAGCCTCTTTGAGATAGAGACCTGGCGATAAGAGATTGCGGTTGCGAAAAACTGCCCAGACCATGAACACTTCGCGTCCTATGGAGATCTCGACCATGAACTTGATATCCCTAAACTTCAAACTTCTGCTTTTGCCTTCTTCCCTTTGCTCAATGAAATGTGAAATTTTTCAGATGATCTCCAATCCAATCTCCGATTGATTGTAGACAACTACAAGACCTAGAATATCATTAAAAAAATGCCAAGCAAACATAAAATATGACAAAGTGGGGATAAAACATGATGAACTGAGGCTATTTCCCTCTAGAAAAGCCTTCATAGCAAAATAAGTCTTGCTAAAACTTATGAATTATGAATAGGAACATAAATTAGCATATATTAGCTTGCAATGTGACCTAGACATTATGTTTTAGCACAAAAATGCCTCGATAATAAAGGTCAGATAACACCAATTTGGATGTTATTAGTTAATTGTTGGAAACTTCCTAGCAGTTTATGATATGATAAATCTCCATTTGGCAAGTCTAATTTCATTGTAAAGTACGAAGGAAAATGCATTCAAGTGAGAAGAGATATGTGCATGGTTCCTAAGTTGACTCTTGGTGTAGGTAGAAGGAATGGTTGTTTATCTTGTTCTTGTTTTTTTTCTTCTTTCCTAACATTTTTTTTTGTATTTATACTTTAGAGAAAGGGATAAGGCATCATACTAGATGATGCATAGATGCATCTTATTGAGGAGATTATATGCATGATCATCTAGGATCACTACCTGAACTTTACTTTTCTTGCTTGCATTGCTTTTCATTTACTTGCATTATTAGTCTGAGATCTTGAACTAGGGCACCTCAATCCATTTCGTTTTACTTTTCTTTGCATTACAACTTGAGCATATTAGGTTAGATTTGAGTAGTTACTATAAAACACCTTCTGAAATACGATCCTAGGAACTCCTAGGACTTTATCACTTGATTTACTTCATCAATTTTTTGGCACTGTTGTTGGGGATTTTTTTATAGTAATTGAAAGAATTTAATCTCTTGTGTTTGATTACTTTGGAAAGTTATTACCTCATTTTTTGTTTTGCAGGAATCGAACTAGAGGGAAGCATTAAAAGGCATCCAAGTACAATAATAGTTGCAGCATCACTCAAAGAAGAATGGGTGCCTTATCATTATTCGAGTGGTTTAGGCTAAAATCATCAAAGGACGAAGCAAGCAACATTGATCTTCCTCCATTATGCTACTCCCAACAAAGGGTATTCGTGTCAAGTGGGATTGTGAAGGAACATATCCAAAAGATGCGAAGCTACTAGGAGAGAAGTATGGAGATTACCCTACTATAGAGGAGATGGAACAATCTTTTGATGATCTTGATGCATTACGCCAGATCACGTCAAAACCTCCTAGGAGCTTCAATGCTAGCATCAAGGATGAAGGGCCAAAGCAATTGCTAATGGTTGCACCCCTTTAGGAGTGAAAGTAGTTTTGCCGCAATACCATACCTGCCTATCTTAAACGACGTTAGGACAATATTTTGAAAGGAGGTATAGTCTTAGAGTTGGACCCCAATGTAGGGAAGGTTTTGCTACATCCATCCTTCCACCCTTGTTCTACCCCACCCATCTTCGACCATGCATGCTTGCCTAGGAATGTCCCTATGCCAACCAATACAAGCTTTTCCATTATATACCTATGTTTGCTCACTCTACCTCCATTGTCCCGTTTCCACCCGCACCCCCCACCTCATGTCCTTATTCTTCATGATATCTTCTCCCAATATTTGTAGTATGAAACCTTGTGAATGCATGCGCGGTTCCATGTGTTCGCTTGCCTTTTGAATCCTTGAGCTTCATATGTCTATCCAATGCATTCTTATGATAGTTTAGAAGTTAAAACTCAATTGCAAGTGTTCTTATCATAGTTTCCACCCGTAAGGTTGGGAAATGAATTGACAAATTCTATGGCTCGTTAGAGATTGGATGGGACCAATCTGTATTTGCCGTGTTATAAGAACTGAATCGGGTCAACGTTCGCACTAGTAGAACCGTCAAACCAGTTACAATAGAGATTTAGTTTGTTTGGACAACTCTAGATGGACTGAACGGTTCCTAGCAGCTGGACATGAAACCAGATGAAGCATCCTGATTTGATTGGTTCGCTAGTCACTATTCTAACCCAAAATTAAGAAAGAAAATACTTTAACGTTAATTCAAGACCATCCAATCTGAATTCCTAATTTTATTTGTGCTTCCTCTTATTTATTTTCCCAACCTCCTTGCCGACTTTACTCGGTCCACTACAAATAGCCAATCCTAATTATTAACTTGAATTTATTGGACTTTTTTATGATTTCTTTTCTGAGACTATTTGAATGGTTTGTTCAAACTTTTGTTGATGGATGAATTTGAAATTGTTTATAGTTAGCTATGAATTCAATCCAAAAATTATTGTTTTATATTTATATATATATTTATATATTTGGGCAGTTCTAGGGTGCCCAGGGCAAAATCCAGGGTACGGGTAACCGGGGGCAAGGAAAATTACCAAAAGCATCACGAAGCGTTTAAGCGTTGTTCATTGGACTTCAACCTAACTGTACCCGGTTTAATTATATCGATTAAGAGGTTAAACCCTATGGATACGACCCGCCGCCCTAACCAATTTCTAGTCCCCAATTTCTAGTCCCTCATTCGTCTTGGAGGGGACGTCCCCTCTTAGTTCGAAGTTCGAACATAATCCTTTTATCATCGTTTCTGAAATCTTAAATCTCAAATCCTTTTATCATTTGATCGACATTCGATTTAGCTCCCAATCCAATATCAAATCCCCAACATCATCATGTTTTGAACCCCAAATCTATGTATCCACGTTCGAAGAGAAGATCCCTTTTCAATCTAAAATCCCCACATAATCATCATTATGAACCACAAATCCTTGTATCCACAATCGACGTTTTGTTCTTCGCCATTTTATTTCCGACCGGAATCTAAAATCTCCACATAATCATCGTTTCCTTGTATCCACAATCGACGTTTTGTTCTTCGCCGTTTTATTTCCGACTGGAATTTACACAAATTGAAGATGAAATAAGCAACACAGTCTTCGACCTAATTGAGGAAGAAGATGGAAGAAGACAGAATTTGATTCGAATCAGATGGAGAGGTCGCCTTAACTTGTGTTTATGTATTAACGGTGCGTTTAGGACAAAGTCTAGTTGGGCTTTTAAATTCCCTTCAAAAGTGGGCTTGTGTACATGATCCGGATTGTGAAGAGGTTGGGCTTTTATTTACATCTCCGTCTGCTTCTGCTTCTAAACGCTGATCATGTCTTGCGTTCACGCAATTTAAACACAATTATTATGTGTTCCATCTTTTTTTTGGGATTCGGTAAATGGTAGCGTGTCTATTTACACATTTATCGGTACGAGGTAAAAAACAATCCGCCCAATTTAACTCTTTATTAATTGCCCCTATTCCACTCTCTTACTGTTTGCCCCTCTTGACATAACAAACCTCTTGTAGACTAATTAGAGGCGTGTGGTTAGATACTTAGTGAGGACATTTTTTAAATTTATGTTTTGAAACGAAAGTTAGAATTTCGCTTTTGAAGTACTTGTGTACTTTACTTGGGCAAGTATTTTCAAAATGTAAAATTTTATCAGCGTATAGGTATGCGATTATTGTATAAGGTGTTTATGGTTAAGTTAATGATTACTGACTGGTTAGTGTATTAGGTTGTTGATGATTTAGTGTATATGGTATATGGTTTAGAGTATATGGTATATGGGATGGTTTATAAGGTGTTGAATTGTTGATGGTCCAGAGCATATTGTATTGATTGATTCGGCTGAGGGTAGGTGTTAATTTATTTTTCTCGATTTTATATTGTCTTAACATCTTCTTATAAATGCTGATCATGCCTTATTATCAGGAAATTTAGACATAATTATTGTAGCGTGGTAGAGTTCTTAACTTCATCTTTCTTCATTTATTCTTTGACTTGAACCAACACGTCTTTGCTCCGAAGGATTTTGGGTGGTAGTGGCGTGCTAAAGACAATCCGTCCAATTTAACTCTTCGTTAATTCCCCCTTTTCTTTTCTTTTTTGGTAGAATAATTACCCCTTTTCCACTCTCTCAGTCCCCGCCGAAGTTGAAACAATCCCCTGTGATATATTTATCGTTCATTTTAACCCTTCACTTAATAAGAAAGCGAAATTATGCAAAATGGTCATCAATGTGGTGTAGCTTAATTGGTTAATTGTTCGTTATTTGCTTAGTCAATAAAGTAGAGGTTTGTGGTTCGATACTTAGTGAGTATCAATTTTTAATTTATGTTTTGAAAAGCAAGTTATAATTTTAATTTATCAGCGTATAGGTATACGATATTGTATAAGGTGTTGATGGTTTAGAGTACATGGTATTGGGTTAGTGTATTGATCATCTCCATCCCTAAAATATGATATTGTATAAGGTGTTGATGGTTTAGAGTATATGGTATTGGGTTAGTGTATTGATCATCTTCATCCCTAAAATTGAACAACAATTTCTAAACGAGGTCCCTACCGCCACATCATCAATTTTAGCAATTCATCACTTATCAATTTCTATTCATCTACATCCCTAAATTATGCTAGCAATTGCCAAGGTGGGTTCCATTTTTTATTTCAAAGGAAAAACTTATTATAAATTGAAAGTTGGGGATGGAGATAGAAGAAGGTGTTGTTGGTATACAGTATAAGGTCTTGAAGGTTATGGTATAAGGGAGGAGCAAGGTGTTGATGGTTTAAAGTATATATGTTATTGATTGGTTACGGTATAAGCCTATAAGGTGTTGTTATTGTTGTAGAGTATATGGTATTGATTAGTTCGTGTATTAGGGTTTGGTTTAGGCTTTAGGGTTTAGGGTTTAGGGTTTAGGGTTATGATTCAAGCTAGAATAACATAAACCAGATCAATAGAGTAATGTTGGTAAACGAAAAAGTTGGTTAATCTACAAATTCAGACTATTTATAAAAGCACATCCCCATTTCCCACCGTCAATTCCTAAACTTTTCCCTTAATCCGATGGTGAAATACCTTCGATCCTTGTCGCGTGCGTGTCACCCAATCAGATATTGCCGAATTCGGAAAGTCGCTTTTGCCCATAACCAATGCTGGCGTTACCAAGGCCGAGGCAGTGGTAGGGAGTGTAATTTTCAGTAAATGTGAAGGGAGGGAAAGTAAAAGTAATTACGAGTCAATCTTTAAATTCGTTAATCAGTGAAGGAGAGACCGTGCTCCGAAACCCGAGTGGCACTCATCTCCTGCTGCTGTTCGTTCCTCCTCCTCTCAATCCCTGAAAAGAACCCTTTCTTCCATCTTCTCAATATGAAACTCCGAAAATCAACCCCATCCGCCTCTTCGTCCTCCTATCCCATGCTTTATTTTCGGGTGCAGTGGTAATGATGAGACTGCGTATTATTTTAGATCTCATTTCCTTTCATTATGTCATTGTTAGATCATGACTGTTAAACTAAATCCTTCGTTGTATTGTTTCTCCTTTGCTCTCCATGCAGGGTCTTTGTTAGAGGCAGGGAGGGGAGCAATGACAATAAGTCGCCGTCTGAATATCGCCGGAAGAATCATCATATGTTGTTACGATTCCATAATAGGTGTTGTGGAACCCTACGTCATATGGTGGTTCTTTTGTGCGATATTGACGCGTACTTGTTGATCATGCTCCGAAAATCAACCCCATCCGCCTCTTCGTCCTCCTATCCCATGCTTTATTTTCGGGTGCAGTGGTAATGATGAGACTGCGTATTATTTTAGATCTCATTTCCTTTCATTATGTCATTGTTAGATCATGACTGTTAAACTAAATCCTTCGTTGTATTGTTTCTCATTTTCTCTCCATGCAGGGTCTTTGTTAGAGGCAGGGAGGGGAGCAATGACAATAAGTCGCCGTCTGAATATCGCCGAAAGAATCATCACATGTTGTTACGATTCCATAATAGGTGTTGTGGAACCCTACTTCATGTGGTGATTCTTTTGGGCGACATTGACGCGTACTTGTTGATCATGCTCCCAAAATGTATACAAGATGGGAAAGTTGCCATATGTATAATAGGATAAAATAGGGAGGGAAAGTACAGCTTTTTGTTTTTGTTGGACTATATGTAACATTTGTTTATATTTGTATACTGTTTTGTTATTTTTTCTTCTGCTTCTCTCTTCGCTTCCATGGCGGCTTCCAAAAGTGTTTGAGATCTTCTAAATCTGCGAGGGATCCTCCACTCCCAATAAAAATACTGTACTTTGTACTATTAGCGTTTGAGATCTTCTAAATCTGCAGGGGATCCTACACTCCCAATAAAAATACTGTACTTTGTACTATTAGCATTTGAGATCTTCTAAATCTGCAGGGGATCCTACACTCCCAATAAAAATAATGTACTTTATTTGTTGACTACTGACTCCATTTTTAGAAGTCTTTACGATTGGGCCAACCGGATTTTTTGCCGGATTTCGAACTCTGCTCCTCTGTCGCCACATGCTCTACCCATTTAATGAGTGCTCAAAATTAGTGCAAAAAATACGATATAATAATTGAATAAAAAAAACTAGTTCTCAAGATTATTCAACTGAAATGTTGCACATGATTTATTTAGAGTGCTTAAAAATTGCCTTCAACTGACCATTAATGAGTACATAAATTAAACGACACCGCAAGAGCCAACAGTCTTCTTATATACCAAACGACTCGGCATAGGAGGACTTCCAGTTTCAGTTCAAGTTTCCAACACCGAGCAAATATATGGTCCCAATTGCCACTTCAGCAACTTTAACTATACATCAATTGTGACCGTGGGTCCTACTTAATTTTCAATGCAATTCAATATTAATTGGTGAGTGTGTTATATTAATTTGAGTTTTCTCTCAAGTTGTTTTTTGTTGTTGTGTTATTCGAATTATGTAAAGT